TTCTTTAGTAAATACGTTAGTAGTAATCTAGTAATATATATAAGTCTATTATTTAAGTATCTAGCGTATAAGTAGTTAGCTAACTAATTTATTAACGATTTCGCTTAGCTTTTCTAAGAAAAGCTTCTAGAGCTTCTTTCTAGAGGTAAAGAGAGTATAAAAGCTATTTACTACTAATAAGCTAGGTATTACTAAGCTCTAGTGTAGCCGTGCTAGCTTCTATTTAAAGTTAATATTCTAATTCTTATTAGTTATTATATTATGTTGTCGAACAAGTAATTTGTAATAATAATATTAGTTTAAGTAACTAGCTAGTAGGTTCTCTATCTAGAATTTAAGAATTATAGAGGTAAAGAGGTATTATATAACTAGAGTCTTACTATCTAAGTTACTTTATAAGAGTTTACCTATAGTATTTAGGTAGTTTAGCTTAGGTATAGCTTCTTATTTAAGAAGTAGAGGTATATACTATTAGCGTAGTAGCTAATTATTAGCTCTACTAGTAGAGTAGAGAATTATTAATTTTTAAAATAAGAGAGAAGTTTCTATACGTAGAAGTTCTATAGAAGTTCTTCTATACGTAGAGCTCTTGTAGCTCTCTTTAGGTTGCTACTAGTAGTATCTTTTCTACTACCTACTAGATCTACTAGTAGTTTTATATAGCGCTAGAAAGAAGTAATTAATTAATACGTTAATAGATTCTTAGAGTAAGTAACTAGACTCTTATAGCTCTAATTCTTAGTATAGCTATTAGTAAACGCTTCTTATAAGGCTACTTAGTTTAGCCTAATATTATACTATTATCTCTAGCTAAAGAGGTATTAACCTTTAGATAATATAAGAGCTAGCTTTATAGTCTCTACTACTATACGTACGCTCTAGAACACCTAGCTAGGTAAGTTAATTATAGGTAATACGGTCTCTACAAGCTATAAGAATAAGAGCGATAAGTAGAGTAGGTTAGGTTAAATTTAGCTATCTAAAGATAAGAAGTAGAGAAAAGGCTTTAAGAGGCTCTATATATAGAGGTGCTAAGCGCTAAGGCGCTAGGCTAGGTTACGTAATAAGATTACGTAACCTAAGGTTATATAACCTAAGATAAATCTCTAAACTAGACTATTATAACTATTATATATACTAGATTAATTAGATTATTAATTAGCTTATTTATAGCTAGTAGAATAATATTAATTAGAGTAGTATATAGATTCTAGATATCTTTAGTATTCTTAAGTAGGTCTACTAGTATAATTAAATTAAATTACTATAGAGTTAGTATTATACGCTATTTATTCTTAATATAATTATTATTTATATTTATTTTATCTAGATAGTTTCTAGGTTTCTAGCTTAGTATATTAGGCTATATAGTCTTTAAGTCTAGATAGTATACTATCTAGAAGTTAAATTATAAAAGAAACTCTAACTACTAGACTTATTACTAACTTAGAGCCTTAGTTAAGATAAAGTATTCTAGATTCTTATAGTTAGTAATAACTTTAAATAGCTTTATAATACTCTATAGTTTAGGTTTTTATTTTTAAAGTACTTTAATAATAGTAAAAAGCTTTTTATTATAAATCTTATAGTTATATTCTAGCGTAGTATATTTACTAGAAAAGTAGATAACTAGATATAGAATATCTTTCTTATTATACTATAAAAAAACTCTACTTAAAACTTAATTAGACGTAGTAGTTTCTAGAATAGTATACTTAGTATAGTTAAATATAGTAAGTACTAGAGCTATAGTAAAGTCTAACTTTAGACTTTTAAATATATTTTACTATTTCTTTTTCTAGATCTAAAGTAAGTTCTTTCTTATAAGCTTATTTAGTAAACTAGTAATTATTAAAAAGTTTTAGATAAAGTATCTATAGAAGTTAGTAAATTCTAGAAACCTTTATAAATTCTAAAAATATAAAAATAGTAGCTAGTCTATATTAGTTTAGATCTTAGAAAAGTCTATCTTAATACTACTTAGAGAAACTATTAGATCTAAGTACTTTATTTCTATAGTTTTAAATTTATACTTATAATATACTTTATTATTAAACTATCTATATTATTAAACTATCTATAATTTCTTAGTAAGAAAAATTAATAAAAAATTTATATATATATCTTTTATAGTATATTATATCTTATACTAAAGTTATACTAGAATATATTAGGTAATTAAAAAGCTATACGTATTTAGGTAACTTTTAAGAAAAAATCTAGTTTACTTCTAGTAAGTACTATTATATCTCTATAATAATCTATAAAACTTATAGTATATAGTATTTATAACGTAATAAAGATTTCTAGAAAACTTCTATAGCGCTAGCTCTTCTAGGTATAGCGTAATAAGAGATAGAAGTTAGAAAAATTTCTTCTTAGAGGTTTCTTCTTCTAACTATATAGAGCTTATTAACTAATAATATACTAGCTTTAAGTAGTTATTTAAAAGTAAAGTCTTTTTAGTAGTATAGTATAGAAAGATAGAAAGATACTAAAACTATATTAAAATTATTACTTCTAAATATATAGAAGGCTTATAGTATATATAATCTTATAATATATAACTTTATATAGCTAGATTATTAATATATATATATATAGTTAGAGAAGAAAACTCTAAAAAGAAAATTTTCTAACTTCTATCTCTTATTACGCTATACCTAGAAGAGCTAGCGCTATAGAAGTTTTCTAGAAACCTTTATTACGTTATAAATACTATATACTATAAGTTTTATAGATTATTATAAAGATATAATAGTACTTACTAGAAGTAAACTAGACTTTTTCTTAAAAGTTAGTTAAATACGTATAGCTTTTTAATTACGTAATATATCTTAGTGCAACTTTAGTATAAGGTGTAATTTACTATAGAGAATATATGTATAAATTTTTATAGAAAAATATTAAGGTTTCGCTTAGTTATTTAAGAAAAACGAGTTAATTTTCGTTAATTTTCGTTGCTAAGAGAAGGTGGCTAACTCGCTTGTGTAGCTAGCAAAGTACGTTAGACTAAGACTATTACTATTACTATTTCTTATAATACTAGTTTTTATTTTCTAAGCAATAGAAGAGAAATATAGTACCTAAAGGTTAAAGCTAAGCGCGCTATAATAATCTAATGTTTATCTACTAAGAACTTAATATATATAGAGAGTAGCTTATAGTTAGACGTTAGGTGCCTTAGGTAGTCTAGTAGCAGTACGTTAGCGAAAATGCAATAGTAGTTGCCCTCTAGAAGTACCTTCTGCGTCTTCATATTCCGCTGTACCACCCGAGCAAACATCTCCAACCCAAGGCTGATGTGGACATCTCCGTTCTGTCGTACGCTTGTGGCGTTCTCCGTCGTGGCGGGAGTCCATCCCACAGCTTCCGCATCGGGCGTTATCTGCCGCTCGGTTGTGTCTGGCAATGCTCTTTGTCTCTTCCGAGGTGGCGCTCCTGCTGCTACGAATGGATTAGTGGGCGTTTAGACGGACATCAGCGGACTTACGCATGGAGGCAGCTCTTGCCAAAGGACGTATCATTGCAGTGACTGAATAGCGCGGGCCTTGGGCGTCGTAGTATCTTTGGGCATTCTCCATCCAGGGGTATATGCGTGAGGCAAGCGTTTCTAATGCAGGGTCGAGTAAATCGAGACATACCGCTATCTCTCCGTACGTAATCGTCCTGAAAACGTTATGCGCGAACCCTAGAATGCCTGATATACCAGACCGCTAAGATGGATACATGCTCTCCAAAGCAAGAAACTTAAGCCTGTTAAGCACTGCGTCACGCGCCGTTTCTTCACAGCTTTCTGGAAAACGCTTCCTCGCAAATTCCCGGATTGACCCTTTGCGACTCTTCGAGATTGTGAAAGAATGCGTCTCGACAATCTCCTGGAGTTTAGTTGGATTGTATTTATCGAAGTCCGCGGCAATGCTCCGTTTAGCAAGGACTCGCCGAAGCATGGCTTAATTCGTTTTCTTGCCGCCGTCGATCATCCGAATGTCTACAATCCGGTAATCGTCCTGCTGCACCGGGGGAGGTCCAACGGCATCCTCAGGACTTGTTGAGAAAAATTCCTCCAGCTCCTCGCGAACGCCCACTAAACACCCGGCCAGCTTGTCGTTTCTGTTGGCAGGGCTCTTCCGTGACTTGACTATAAGTTGAAGTTTTCAAATCACGGTGTCGACTTTATATGGTTCAATCACGAGGGAAAGACATTCGATGTCCTCGTCAGAAGCATTACTGAAGGCATCCACGGCAGCGGCGAAGGTGTCCATGTCAGAAGAATTTCAGCTCTGCCGCTGAGGAAAGGCCGGGGAACGCCTAGTATGGCTTTGCTTGTCCCGAACGGGTAAGCGCGCAGATTGCCGGCGGCCAATCTTGTTTAGAGTTTTGGCGACTGTCATTGGATCCCCCGCCACCACGGTCGGCTGTGCTCCCGATTCGCCGCCAATTCATAAACGACCCAGAATGAGGGCGATAACCGAAGCCGTTCGAGGTTTCCAACCCGTCGCTGACTCCATCCTCTCGAAGAGGGCTAAACCAGGCGCCTTCCCACACCCGCGCGGGACGCTTCGACCACCGTAAACAGAAATCGTTTAGCAAGCAGATGCCCAGGGTTCGCCACCTCGCTTTCGTTGAACGCCACCAATAGGTAGCATGCTCCCCGAAGAGCAAGGGCTGGGGTGAGGTCGATCCCTCACGATATATCATGCACGCTCTCCTATCGTTAATAATATAGGGGGTTCGATAATAAAGTACGTTAAGTTATTAGTCGGCACTAATAGTTCAGCATTGTTGCTGTCCTTTATGATAACGGTAAGGTCTAGGAGGGGAGTGCTGCGGGATACTGTAGCTTCAACCCCCAAAAATGCCTTGATTCCGTCCTCGATAATACACTTCGCCCATGCGATGGCATTCATACTGGTTGTTTGGCTATCCTTTGCCTCTGGAAACTCAACACCACAGGTTGGTGACATGATATGGAAGCCGCGCTGACGATTATGTTTTCAGAAGCTCAATTGCAATATTTGGTGGCGCGAGGGGTTGAGGGATAGCGCCAACGATCGGTAAAGCCGCCCGGGGCCAGCGCATAGTGAGTCTTTTGCTACTAGGTAATAGGGAAGCGTTAGAGGGCGCGAGGACGCGAAGGCGCACAGGGCGCGGCGTAACGTCGGCACACTCGCTTGGCGGACGCTAATGCCCAGTACATAGACTCTTCGCCAGGTATGCCTGAACTTGGACTTTACCCCAACTCCACGTGTCGAAGAAACGCGCCCAACCTCAAGCACTTACTACTCTAGCGATGCCGCTGCTCGATCTATCGAACGAGTTGCTCTGCCTTGTATCAGAGAACCTGCTTTCAGAGAGCGATATTAACGCCCTTGCACGAACCGACCGCCTCCTTTACGATCTAACGAACATACACCTCTACCGTTACAACGTACAACACTCTGATAGCTCAGCGCTGTTATGGGCTGCTAAACATGGACAACTGAGCACGGCTCAAAAGTTGCTGGAGGAGAGGGTCGGCGTACAACCCACAATAGACTGCATTCAAAGAGCATCGCTACTGGCGGCGAAGAATGGGTATGGAGCAATTTTGATGCTGCTGCTCGAAAACGGCGCCGCTGTCGACAAACCGTCTGTACTGTTCGATAACCCACTCCATGCTGCTTCGGCTGGAGGCCAAGAGGAGGTGGTGAGGCTGCTGCTCGGCAAGGGCGCTAACGTCAACACACGGGGTGGAACATACGGCAACGCGCTTCAAGCGGCTTCGGCTCACGGCCATGGGAAGGTGGTGGGGCTGCTGCTCGAAAATGGCGCTGAGGTCAACGCACGGGGTGGAGACTGTGGCAATGCACTTCAAGCGGCTTCAGCCAGAGGCGATGAGAAGGTGGTAAAGATGCTGCTCGACAATGGCGCTGAGGTCAACGCACAGTGTGGAGACTATGGCAATGCACTTCAAGCGGCTTCAGCCAGAGGCTACGAGAAGGTGGTGAGGCTGCTGCTCGAAAATGGCGCTGAGGTCAACGCA